AGCGGCTGGTGCAGCACATTAATTGAAAAACTGATTTGGTCCCTAGATCCCCCAATCTGCAAGAGCACTGAGGGTACTTGTGATTGATTGTGTTGCACTCTGATTTGTTGGAATAGCATCGCTGATGAATGTTTACCAGAAAAACTGAAAAGAAGATGCAAAACAAAAGAATAATTGTTGTACTCTACATCAGCGGTCTCTAACCTTTTTTGCACCATGGACTGGTTTATGTTCAGCAATATTTTCACAGACCGGCCTTTAAGGTGTAGCGGATAAATACAACAAAATAAAACCAGTATAAAACCAAAAAAACATTTTTTTTTCATAACACACAGGAAAAGACCCAGGGAAACACAGTTAACAATAAAAACGATAAAAACCATGAATTTTACACCTGAGCCTCAACTTTCGTGGCCCGGTACCAAACGACTCACGGACCAGTACCGGTCCATAGCCTGGGGGTTGGGGACTGCTGCTCCACATCCAACTCATTTTATATTGTGGGCAGCACACATCTTCACACACCCCCGTTCTCTATTATCCATTGGGGCGGATGGGCTGGGAGAAGGTGTTAGCTGTCCAATTGGGGTCTGGGATGTGAGGCCTCCCTGCTGCTGCGGAGTCGGGGCGGTCTGCCTCCCCCCACCCCAGGGGAAAGGGTAACACCTCCTGGGTCTCCTGGGTGTGGTTTCCCCCTCTGGGGGCGAGGGTACCTGGACCTGGGGTATAGAGTATGTTTGGGGAGTGTGATTGTGTGTGCAATATGTATTTGTGTCTGTTTTTACGTTGGGTGAGTGCCAAGTGTTTGTATATGTGTGCATGAGGGTGGGAATGCACATTTGTGTCTGTGTGTGCCTGTTTGTCTGTGTCTATATGTCAGGTCGGGTCTCAGACTCCACCTCTCTGAGAACATCTCAGGCCCTCCAAAGTATGGAGGCCTATCTCCCCTCACCACACTCCCTGCTGGTTGCTGATGCCCTCAGGCGTGGCACATACAGTCCTGCTGTGCACTTATGGGAGAGGGGTTATGTCAAGGCCTTGAATGGATGACCTCCAGAGCCGGACTCAGATAGCCCATTCCTTTGCCATTAATGGCCTGACTACCTTCAGCACCGCTGGGATGGAACAGCATTATTTTTTTTATTTTAATTTATTATTTATTTATTAAAATGTTGGTGGTTCTTGGTGTCTGGGGCTGGCTGCTCAGGTATGTACTGGCTGGATCTCCTCCATGCCTGCTTGATGCCCTGGGGGACGGGGCTATGTCTCCCTACACCATCTAGCAGATCATTACATGGAGAAACCTTTTGAATACAAGCGCGGTCATCCACACAGGTGTGCACACAGGTGTGCACTGTTCATAGACACAAACTACACCTTTCTTGGCTGCTACCTCAAAGCACATTGTGCTGTTGGTCCTGCGTGCTGCAAAACAACATTCAATATTTAGTATTTACTGTTATTTACACTTAGCTAGATTAATGCGATGGTGTTGTGTGGCCTCTCCCTTAGAGATAGGGTGAGAAGTTCGGCCATCCGGGAGGGGCTCAGAGTAGAGCAGCTGCTGCTCCACATCGAAAGGAGCCAGCTGAGGTGGTTCGGGAATCTGACAAGGATGCCCCCTGGGCGCCTCCTGGGTGAGGTGTTCCAGGCATGTTCCACCAGGAGGAGGCCCCGGGGCAGACCCAGGACACGCTGGAGAGATTATATCTCTCGGCTGGCCTGGGAACGCCTTGGTATTCCCCCGGATAAGCTGGAGGAGGTGGCTGGGGAGAGGGAGGTCTGGGCCTCTTTACATAGGCTGCTGCCCCCGCGACCCGGCCCCGGATAAAGCGGATAAAGATGGAGATGGATGGATGGTGTTGTGTTTATTATATTGCGCTTTTTTTTTTTTTCTTTTTTTTTTTTGCATGTTTTATGTCTTTTTTTTCTCTCAACAGGTGATCCGGGAGATTTTCTTTCTTTTTAAGTGTCCTTTCTCACTGTCCCTCTTCCCCTCTGTTTTTCCTTTTCCTCCACCTTCCCCCCTTCCTCCCCCTCAGACACCCCAGACACGTCTGTAACAACTGAAACAAAAAAAAAAAAAATAAAAAAAACAAAAACAAAAAAAATGGACCAATACAGCAAGGCCGTGATTTATCTATCTATCTATCCATCCATCCAATATGAAACAAAAAGCTTTTTCTGCTTATCCAGTTCAGGGCTGTAAGGTGGCTGGAGCTGTGAAAGGCTGAGTACATCCTGAACAGGTTTCCAGTCTCTTGCAGAGCTCACACAGAGAGACTGGCAACCACCTGGGCTCACATTCACACCTAAGGGAAATTTAGAATTGCCAGTTTAACCAAACATGTATGTCTTGGGACCATGAAAGGAAGCTAAAATACTGGAAAGAAGCCACATATAAATAGTACATGCAAACACCGCACCACAGTGCTGCCTAGCTAAATATCTGTTCATGCTTATTTACACAATGTTTCAGATTGTATGAATCAGCAGGAATATCTGTTTTACCCCCATCATTTTTCTACCATCTTGCTTTTTTATGTGTTTAAATCTCAGGATGCGTTTAGGACGGGAGTGTGATAGCACAAGTGACTTACCTGTTATCATAAAGGAGCGACTCAAAGTGATGAACGGCATCAACCCCCGTGTGGTCTTACGCAATTACATTGCTCAGAATGCAATTCAAGCTGCAGAAAAAGGAGACTTCTCTGAGGTTAGGCAACTTTTTTTTTTTCATGAAACTTTAATGTAGTCCTTAAGTAGTGAATTTCTCATTGAAGTGCTTGTTTACCTCAGCATTATTGTTGGAATTAATTGAAGTGAGTACAAGTCAGTTAAATTGAGTCCGTCACTAGGTGGAGAAAAACATGTTTCAGTCATCACCTGCCTTGTTGCATGTCTAGCAGCTGTTTCATTTCTTTGAGTGAACTTATTGTACCTCCAGTTACAGGTCATTTAAAGGTTATTATCAATGTGTCCTGCAGATTGTTAGGGTTCTCAAAGTTCTCAAGAAACCATATTCTGATCCTGAAACTTTGTTTGGACCTGATGGATGTGGTGAGATGGAGCACAGTGGGGCGGAGCTTGATGTCGCATATGACAGGAAGCCTCCAGCCTGGGCACAAACAGTTTGTGTCACATGATCCTCGTAAAGCCTCCGAGGCAGGTGGAGGAAGGTCTGTAGGACAGCAATTTTACAAGCAAATGATATCTGTTGTTGCCATTTTGTTATCAACAACTCACTTATTTTCCATTTTCTTCTCAGACTGTATTTCCTGCTTCCTGTTAGGAGGATGTGATGCAGTCCTCTGTGTTCTGGTGTTCATTGTTGTGCAATTAGTTTGGTATTTGTGTGATCACACACTTTTATTTCAGTGTGCAAATGTGTCTGATGAAAAGACTAAAAAATAGACAAACAGAAACGTCACTGCTGATGAAGTATGATGGCTCAGGCTACCAGTCACACAATGATCTGCCTGGGCTTGAAACACAAATGAACATCAGGATATAGCTTAATAGTAACAAAATGAAGAAGTTTAAATTGCTGAACATGATATGATTAGTGGCATAAGCATGTGAGAATTTGTGGGTATTAGTTAATAACAATATATTGTTTGTTAAATAACATGATTTTAGACCTGTTAATTAAAGTCCCAATAAATCATTTGCAAATAATAGCCTGTATACTTTGCAGCATTTCATTCCTAATTATTTTGTAATTTCTCAAATGTGTTTATTTTTTTATCATTTGTTCACTATAATCATGTACATGTCTTACATTTACTCAGAAATAGTAATAGCAATACAGATAGATGACCGTTAGTAAGAAAGCCAGTGTGATTTAGTTACATACCATCTAGGGCAGGGGTCTCAAAGTCCAATCCTTGAGGGCTGGTGTCCTGCAACTTTTTCATGTGTTTTCATGTTGCAAAACTTCTGAATAAAATTAGTAGGTCATTAGCAAGAGTATAGAACCTGACTGCATGTTTTGAAGTGGCAACCCCTAACCCTACTCAAGTAAATTGAAGTAAATGTAAGTGTTTGGAAAAATGTACTTCTAAAAGTACTTTTATTGCAGCATGTTCATTCACTTATGCGCTGCTGTAACATGAATCAAATGACTAAATTGCCACCTCAGCATGCAGTCAAGTTCTATTGAGTCTTGCTAATGACCCTACCAATTATATTCAGAAGTGTTGCAACAGGGACACATGGAGAAGTTGCAGGACACCAGCCCTCGAGGACTTTGAGATCCCTAGATTCTAGGGATAATGGAGCACAACAAGTAGATAAAGGGAGCTCCTGTTCCAGTCATCAAATCATGGTATAGCCAGTTTTTCAATAAAGTAGGATTTATTCAATCATATTTATATAAGACAAATGTAAAAATAATCACAAGCATAGGAATGAGGACCAGGAGGGAAACACAGCTGGGACTAATCACACACACACAAACACACTTCTCAATTGAATTGAATTGAATTTTATGCCACCAAATTACAAAAACAGTCGCCCCAAGGCACTTTATATTATAAGGTATATAAGGTAAGGCTTATAACAATCAGGTCAGATTAAACTTTTCTGACAACAATAAAGTGAAATCTTACCTGATGTCTTTCATAAATTTATAATGTGAGTCACATTTATTTGTACAAAGCACTTTATAAAAAGGCATCTTGTCTTTTACTTTACATTATTATTACTTTATTACTGTAAGAAACCCCCAAATCCACATCCAACCACCTTCAGTGGACTAGCTGAACCTGTTCTTCCATATACTGTACTGACTTCTATGAAAAATAGGCAGAAAGGGCAGGGGTAAAGCACTTACAGTAAACACCCGGCTCTTAACTGTGTGCAGTGAGAGCAGTTTCTATCTGATTACATGACTGTGAGGTCAGCAGGAAGTGGGTGAGACGACGACAACAACAGCAGACTAGATGAACTCAAAACTGAAAGTGCTTCTGCATTTGAACTCAAGCAGAGGATGGACACAAGCAGTGCAACTAATTACACGACATGTAACTATGGCCCGTGTTCCAGAGCTGCTTCTTGGGATTTTGGAAGAAATGGTCGACGAGCAACTCAGGACTTTCCACTGGTACCTTTCAAGTAATGTGAGCACATTACTTGAAAGGATTCACACACATTCCAAAGTCTCGGGTTGATGGGATGGACAGAACAGGCACTGTGGATCTGTTGGTGCAAACATTTGGCTACGATGGTGCTGTTGCTATTACTGAGGATATACTGATGAGAATGAAACTCAAACTTTGGGCTGATACTCTAAAGGAGGATTATAGTAAAGGTTAAACATTTTTTACAGGTACAAACTTTAGTGTTTAAAGTTTGAAAGGCAAAAGAGCTTGGTTACATAACAGCTCTTTCTTTTCTTTGCTTCCTTATCAGTTCCCAGCAATCATGTGGACAAAGGTAAGAATATAAAGGACAGTCACACACATACATATAAGGTAATGTTTTTTTTTGTTTTTGTTTTTTTTGCAAATCTCTTTTTATTAGCATTTTGTTTCTTAGTTAGAATTTGATCATAAACTAAAATAAAATTTAAGATTCCTATGTGAAACCAAAACCTTCATGTTGAAAATTTGTAGAGATTAGAACGTTTGTACACATAAAGGACAGTAATATTGGTTTTCCGCCACTGAACCCCTCGTACAGATTATATGCAGGTAGATAAAGATAAAGCACACATATAATAATAATATTAATAATAACAATAAAAGTTACATCCATAAAAATCCACAGGACTACATGTCGTTGTTGTTATGGTTTCCAGATAAGAGACAGTTCTCAGAGAGTAAAGTCAATTCTTGCATCAGAAATGATAAACATTGACCACTTCTTCCAGTTCTGAGTAAAGAGCTGTAGTTTCAGTCGCAATGCGAAAGTTAATTTTTCCATTATGTATACTTTTTGAATTATGTTTGTCCAGTGAAGGAAAGTTGGGGCCTCAGGCTTAAGCCACAGCCTGGTAATGGCTTTTCTTGCTGCAGTAAGAAGAATCTTAGTTAAATATAAGTCCTCTCTTTTAACTCTATCATCAATATTTCCTAAAAGTAAAGCAGTACAATCCTCAGGGACCTTGTAACCAAAGACTTTTTGTAAGGTATCATTCACTGTTTTCCAGAATGGGTTAATTTTAGAACAAGACCAAAAGATATGGGAGTGGTTAGCTGCCATTTCACCACAGTTTTGCCAACAAGGCTGCTGTATGCCCAACTGCTTACTCCTAATGTGAGGAGTGATAAAAAACCTAATAAGACATTTCCAATTAAATTCCCGTCACTGTAGGGGATTTGTAGACGTTTGAAGTGAACCCCATAACTGGTACCATGTTTCATCTGTAATTGATAGTTTTAGTTCCTGTTCCCATTTTGTCTTTACATATAAAGAGGTAAATCTTTGATTCTTCATCAAATTAGAGCATAATTTGGATGCTAGTTTAGTAGTTTTCTGCTGGTAGGCGTCGCACAATGTTTCAATTAGAGGGTTAATCATCTCAGCTTCAGCTATCTCTTTATTGTAATAATCTTGAAGTTGTAGATATCGAAAAAAATCCTGGTTTTCCAATTCAAACATGTCCTTAAGCTCTTGAAAGCTCCTAACTTTGTCCTTTTTGGTAATAAAACAGAGAGCAGTCATATTGTCCTGGTTTAAAACTCTTGTCCAAGGCTATCCATCTCAACTTCCTCTGGCCATTTTGCAGTTTTAAATGTTTGACAGTAGAGTACCACATTTGTAATGAAAACTGGGATATGGGATCGAGTTTTGACTTAATAATGTCAGTTAAGGTATTTTCTCCTAACAGTGTCTGGACATTATAGTCCGTGCTATCTTGTGTCTCAATCTGTTTCCACTTTGCAGTGTATGAATTATCACACCATAGGCATAAAGGGTAATTGTGCTGCCTGGAAAT